CTCTCTCTCTCTCTCTCTCTCTCTCTCTCTCTCTCTCTCTCTATATATATATATATATATATATATATATATATATCAGCGCATTCCTTACATTTTCAGATTATATACGTAATAAGGAATCCGAAGGATAACGCAGTTTCGTACTACTACCATCACAAGATTGCATGTTTTCTGGGGCCCTACACGGGAAACTTTCAAGAGTTCATGACACTGTACATGAGAGGGCAGCGTAAGTAAATTCATATACTGCGCACGTATTGTGCTGTATATCCCTCACATTGTGAACAATATTTTCATTGGAATTATTACTGTTAGGCGTTTTTTGTGTGCTGTAAAACCAAAGACCTACTTCAATATCGCCATAATGCACGATGTAGCATTTCACTATTAATTTCAGGTGTATCACTCGATATCGGACACAATCATAAACGATTATTAGAATAACTATCTTTAATCCAGTAATGTAATTGCTATTCGTATGCAAGCATATTACCAGGAATAAACAAAAAGAATATTTGTTTTCATCCACATCCCGATGTCACTAATATTTGCGTTGTCATGGTGATAGGTTTAGCTCTGTGTATGGTATACTGCGTAAATCTGGTGAGGCGAGTATCCATCCATGTGTTTAATGACGATCATCATTATACATACTCTTGATAAATTATTTTCAGTGTTGTATGGATCGTGGTTTGATCACGTGAAGAGCTTCTGGGACCAACGAGACAGCGATCAGATACTCTTTATAAAATATGAGGACATGAAAAGGGTGATTTGACAATAATTGTTGCTGTTGGCATCGATTTTCTTTTGGTTATTTTGATTTGTGTTATTGTTATTGTTATTTATTATTTATATTGTTGTTGTTGTTGTTGTTGTTGTTGATAATGATGTTGTTGTTGTTGATCACGATGATGAAGATGATGATAATTATTATTATTATTATTATGATGATGATGATGATGATGATGATGATGATTATGCTGTTGTTGTCATCGGAAATGTATACATTCGCGTATTACTCATTCACGTTTCAATCATGCTTTCTGTTTTCCGTCGAGCAGGATCTACGGGGAGCTGTACGGAAGATTATGCATTTCATGGACAGGGAGCTTTCGGATGACGCCATTGATCAAATAGTGCATCACTGCAGCTTCGCGCAAATGAAAGACAACCCAGCCGTTAACAGATCCAAAATCCCGATACCAGTGTTTGATTTGAAGGAGCACAGGTTCATGAGAAAAGGTAAATGTTTCCAGATGATCATAACTCTATTCATATTAAACAATCGCTTAACCATCCAATTAATTATATATNGAGAAAAACTGGCCAGCACCGGTCTAGAGTTGCAATGGCTGCCCGATGAACTGCTAAAGAATGAAAGTAGCGAAATTGATAGTAATGAAAATTATATAAAAGAGGTAGATAATGAGGGCGACAATGGCGTGGAGGCAACGCGATTGTAGGGACGCACACTCGCGCGTACGCACGCACGTACGCACACACGCCGGTAACAATGTCATATATATGTGTGCATTACGATTACACGTGTAACGGTTACCGCCAATATATGCAAATTCCTATGCAAATACCAACAACAAATAACAGTCAAGAAATCACTACATAATTAGTTCTAGACTTCTCCATTTTTGCTATTACGTAGCGAAGTAATTTCCGTACTTTCATTGTCTTGCATGCCCGATCTTTAATTTTAGGAATCATCGGGGACTGGCAAAACCACTTTAATCAAAAACAATCAGATGCCATGGACGAAATGTATAGAGAAAAACTGGCCAGCACCGGTCTAGAGTTGCAATGGCTGCCCGATGAACTGCTAAAGAATGAAAGTAGCGAAATTGATAGTAATGAAAATTATATAAAAGAGGTAGATAATGAGGGCGACAATGGCGTGGAGGCAACGCGATTGTAGGGACGCACACTCGCGCGTACGCACGCACGTACGCACACACGCCGGTAACAATGTCATATATATGTGTGTGTGCGTGCGCGTGCGCGTGTGCGTGTGCGTGTGTGCGTGTTCCTGTGAGTGTGTGTGTGTGCGTACATGCGTGCGTGTTTGGATGGGTGTGCCTGCGCTTGAGCGTGAGCGTGTGCGTGTGCGTGTGTGCGTGTGTGTACCCGTGTGTGTGCATGTGCGTCTGTGCGTGTTCGTGAGCGTGTGGCTGTACATGTGCGTGTGTGTGGGTGTGTGTGTGTGTGTGTGTGTGTGTGTGTGTGTGTGTGTGTG